AAGGTAGGAGTTGATATAATAATTGTAAAACTATTAAAAATTTACGTAATTTCAGTGATGCGTAAATTTTGGCTAATGTCTCTAGGTTTGATTGCGTCGTGCAAAGTTTATTCTATTTCAGAAACTAAGGGCACATTTAACATTGTCAAGGAGGCGTAACTCAACCAAGCTTCCAGGAAACTTGAGTGAAATTTCAGGGAAGGTTGCATCACATCTTATTGATACAAATTTTAGAGGTAATACAACGGAAACATTGTGCTTCAATATTCAGCTTTGAGTGCTATAAAAATATTGCAGACGATATATAATGAAACCGTGCATTCGACTGAAATTTTGTGCTAGACTATAAAAGAAATTCGTGGAGTGCCCAATGCGCCGCGACATTCGTCTTGCACGCTCAGGCAAATGAATGGGACAAACTCAAGTTCAAATAGCGTCACATTTTTTTAACCATAACAGGAGCATAGATCGAGCGAACGTAGCACTGATACGCCCTTTGATCAGGATGGCCCACACAGGGACGGAAAGTGCATAGCTACTTGAACAAATTCTCACACATTTTTTCGAGTGTACTCAGCGCTCATTCTTTTTCAGTAGCTTCATCTACCTCCACGGTTGTAGCACCAAATACCGGCAAAAATTAGCACTGTTCCCTACACTAAAATTAGGCTTGCGACAACAATGTTATCGCGGACGTAGCACTTGTACGCCCTTTGCCAGGCCGAACTGGCTCAGGATGGCCCACACTGGGACGGAAAGTGCATCGCTATTTGAACAAATTCTCACACACTTTTTCGAGTGTACTCAGCGCTCATTCTTTTTCAGTAGCATGCAAATTAATCCATCCGTTTGCCCATCATCTACCTCCACGGTTGTAGCACCAAATACCGGCAAAAATTAGCACTGTTCCCTACACTAAAATTAGGCTTGCGACAACAATGTTATCGCGGAGAGGTAGACATCACCACAAAAATCGATTTAAGTTAACATATAAAAATCGCTGGTGTGATGATGTTTAGGTTATAAGGTGACACACTAAAGAGGATACTTTGGAATGAACATACGAGACAAACAGAGAGTACAAATGGAATATTATGATTGGAAAACGTAAGTGAAACTAAAAAAAAGGGATACTCTTATAAGAGGAGAAACCTCTGAAATTGAATACCTAAGAGATACCCTAAACATGAGATACCGTTAAAAGTGAATACCAAAGGGATACTTTAGAATGCACCGTCGAAATTGAATATCCTGACCAGAAGATACCATTGAAACTGAATAACATGGGAATGCTTAAAACAGGTGGTACCGCACAAGCCCCCGTGGAATGCGTTCTTCTACCAGGATTGTTAAATCTTAGTGTTTCATCAGTTACATATTAATTATCCAATAATTATGCCGTTGAATTAATTTGTCAAATTAAATCTAATGGAGTGCCGCTACAGCGTCGCATCGCTTACAACACAACACAAAGACCTGCCGAGTTTGGTCAATATAAACATGCACATATTTCCCTATTTATTATGCTAATTAATGAAGTTCTCTCAGTACACCGAAATCAATTGGTTGAAGGTGAGAATTAAATCTTATATAATATAGGTATTCCTTTAAGATCAAGGATTCTTAATGTGGCACGTTTAAAACCTCGGGGTCCAAGCAAGGCACACAACACACAAACACAAAAGAGCTGGACACAATCACACAACACAAGGCTGGCTGAAAAAAACTATTCAGACCCACTCACGGGTCCAGCCCTCTCAAGCTGGCCAGGGGCCATACTTTCAAAACTCGCTAAGTGAACGTAAGTACTTACGCTCTACTTTCTTGTCTGTGATTGGTGGATTTTGCTTGAAAGACCGTCAATGATTGGCTGATGAACTTACGATCTTTTACTTTTTTGAAAGTATAGGCCCTGTTCACGGGTCCAGTCCTCTCAAGCTGACCCACTCACGCAGCAAAGCTAAAGGTGCTCAAAAATTTTCAAAGTACCAACACTATTACGCACAACTACATTTCTTAAGCCCAGCCCATTATTTTACGGAATTTTGCATAAAATTTCCAAGGATGAAACGTCTGGCATCTTGAGTTTGTCGTGTAAATATCAACGATGCCAGTGCACGAGCAGAAAACTTTTCCAACTTGGAGAAATGAATGAGATGGTGTACAAAAAAATATTCATGAATATTTTGCTGTTGTGTGGGTCGTCCTGACCCAGTTTGGCACGGTAAAAAGGTGTATGTGTGATAGGTCCGTTCTCTGCTCGTGCTTCGGGTGAAAAAGTGAGTCGATATTCGGACGACATGACCGATTAATCTTTCCGTGAATGGTTCAATTCTTGCAAGCAAATTAATGCAACGGATGCTTAGCACCACCTTTCATTATTGTTCAAACTAAGCTCAAAAGAAATTTTTGATTTCAGAAAACAACTATGGATACGATCAAAGGGATTTTATCCTAGCCAAAACCAATATACAGATGGATTTTAACATGCCCCAATGATATGCACTTTAGCTGAATTAAGTGTTGAAATAATTTTATATTATATAAACATTTTTACGTGAAATAGAAGCTGTATTTAAGGATACAGTTAGACTGCAGTTTTGTGACGTAGAGGCGCTTTGCTAATTTAGCAGACAGTACAAACACGGCCGAAGAAATAAAGCGTTATTTTCGCATGAAAAAGAATGTGCAATGACGCAAGCAGTTAATGATAAACAGAGATAGGAGACCGAAAGGTTATAAAGCCAGTCTGTGTATGAGAATGAGTGGCATGAATCATGGAGGAGTCATCTGTGGACAGAAAACATAACAAAATAATGAGGAGAAATATCGTACGGTGAAAAATATTGAAACATTTACATCGACCGGACGTTTATCCTCGTGACTCAGAGACGTCGTCGTACGTGTCTTGTTTCTGAACGCGACTTAGATGAACTATATTTTATACGTTCATGGTAGCAATGATTATGAATATGGTCATGTATAACTTTACTCTAGAATTGATAATAAGATCTCAGAGCAAAGCCTCGGCTCATGACACGAGCAAAGGCGCCATGAACTCGGATGTTTGATAGTCCGATTTAATTTATCGATGCTTAGTTAAATCACGGTTAAGATTTCATAAGTTTGTTCGCCTGTATCAAGGATACAGGCGAACAAACAGAAATTATAGTGAGACGGTGGGAAGTGTGTGGCAACATTAACAATGTATATAGTAAATGTTGGCCCTCTGATGTCAATACAGATAACTATGTGAAGAGCTCAAAATTAAAGTCAAGGGTTGTCACGCAAATGAAAGCAATGAATTGATAATTCGGGTGGTAACTCATTGAAACCAACATGATAAATCTTAAATAGCATTCAAAAGACATCAGAATATTCTAGAATGAAAACAATCATTCACGAAAATGAATGATTGTTTTCGCATAATATGTCCTATCAAGAGCCTAATTCGCCGCATAGTGAAAAACAATAAGAAAATTGTCAATAAGAAATACCCTCTGGTCTTCAATGAAACCTGCATTAAAGAAAATGAGTGGGTATATGTTTTTGCGGTAGGAGTGTGTATGGAACATTAATGCCCAACCGACGGCATTGGTTAACTACTGTATTGTGGTTGGCTGGGGGAACGGCACGAAATGTGACATGCGTGTCCATGATATGCTCATAAACATCTAAAATTCAAAGGCGAATTTAATAAACGTATATAATACCTTAAATAGCCTGTATAATATAAGTGATTAAGTACCGTATATTTTTCTAGTTAAAAAAAGATATTTCCATCATGGAAAGACTCAAGTTCTAGAGAATGTCAAGCGAATCAATTTCTAGAGGCGTACGATCAGAGACTGGTATAAGCGCGGATCAAATTGAACATATTTAAAACATGTCTAAACACGTTGAAGTTTGATCACATTGATTGAAGTGATCATAAGAAACATGAAGTTCTAGATCAGCGGAAAGTGAGGGCAATTGCAATTACCTTTCTCATAAAAGATCTTTCTCAAGTAACTAGTTTTTAAGCATAAATCAGACCACGATAATCATGTACGATAATAATCGGGCAAAAGTATTCAGATCGAACACCGGGCAGAAAACGATAATATAAAAAGCATGAATTTAACGCATAGGAATGGGTAAAATAGCGAAAAAAACGTAAGAACTATTCAAAGGGTGAAACTATTGAAACAACTGATTATTTCTAAACTTCGAGCGAACATTACTTATCATTTATTGACATTCAAAGTCTCAGAGGAGATTTCATTATGAGGGGTTTTTTTCCTTTTTCTTTCACTATTGAAGCAGATCCCCCTTCACCGAATAATAATTTGTGCAAAGCTTCGAACCTGAAAACAGCTTGAGGATGACAAATCTCTAACGTATTAATAAAACTTTGCTTTTTTGCGCTTTGTTGTGTCAGGATCCTCCTAGGTCAGTTTGAGCGCATATCTGCAATGTCCAACTTGTGGGAAATATCGCCGAGACACGAAATTTCATCTCTAGTTATTTAATCACGAGGCATCAAAAAAACATAGAGAAGGGGAGTCGAAAAACAAAATTTGAATATTTCTCACGATAACGTGATTCAATTTTCGTTTTAAAAATTTCAAACTTCATTTAGGCTTAATATAATTAAGTTAAATATGAATTCTAAGTTAGATGTGGATTTTAGCGTTTTTTTCTCCTATTAACATTCCTTCAGTTGGAAAATTCTCGGAAGCTAATGTAACGGGATTCTACACCATATTCATCCTGATTAATCTTACAGTATCTATCGTGGGCAACACCAGGCTAAGCAGCAATGGTATCTATATTCATTGATATGCAAGGAAATTATTGCCTTGTGTCGCGCGACTTAGCGCCACCTTTCATTTTAAAATGGCTACAAGGTTTAATATTGCTAATCAAACTAAAATGGTACGATGCGCAACAGATATTAACATAATTTGCATCTACTTATCTCCTCGCTATTATTGTTAATTGAAAAGTAATTTACTTACCGCGCTAGAGGTGGACGACGAGCCCTTGAACGCAAGGTCCGTGGGACGCGGAGACACTGAGTCACGACCGTCTTCGGCGCGTCTGTCTTGGTTGTTGTCCACCTCGGCGACATCCTCAATGATTTGGTTGTTGATGGCCTCGTCTTTGTCATCAGATTTGCTTTGCTCCGGACCAACGTTAATGCTGAAGGCTTTGGCGAACTGTCGAGCAGTTGCGGACCCAGCTACTCCAGAGCCTGAGTTCGAGGTAGCGATGGTTGAGAAGGACTTGAAAAGCTGTTGGGTGTTTTTGCTGATGGCCGAAGAGATTCGGTTGATGTTATACCCTGAGAAGCTGAAGCCAGAGGACTCTTCCTTGCGCGTGGTTGAGATATCAGCGCTTCTGTGGCCATCTTCAGGTGGCACCTCGTCGTCAACATGGTGAGAAGCTTCGTTGGGATGAGGGCCTTCGCTGGGATGAGGGGCGACGGTGAGGGTAGTTGGGACTAGTGACGGGGACGAATGGTGGTGACGTGGCTGTCGAGATTCAGAGGGGAGACCAGGAGGTAGTTTCTGGAGAGGGGTTGGAGGAGGAGCAGATGGAGGTACTGGGGAAGAACTTGGTTCAGGGCGATTTCCGTGTCGACAAGTTGAGGATGAGAGAGGCTGATTCTCGTAACTGTGAGGGGTCGTCTTAGATGTTCGCTTGCTCTTTACGGGCTTGAAAGCTATCTGCGCGTACGGCTGTAGACGTAAAGTGACGTTCATTATGAGTTTAAAATACCGTTGAAACAACGTTGATTACGAGTTAAAAATAACGTTGAAACAACGTTTATTGCGAGTTGATTATGTTAAATCAACATAGAATAATACTGATTGATAATTTGGCTAGATAGTGATATAATAACGACATTATTCTGATCACAAAGGCTTTACCACTCCTTTTTCTACTAACTACCAGGCATTTCTTTGAAAAAAACTTCTATTATAAACACTAACACCCCAGGTATAAGCAGAACAAATATACGTAATTAGGTGAAATACCAAGCACACCACGCTTATGATGTCGGTTTGTTCACTTTATCACGGGAACGCTAAAAAACTTCTATAATAAACACTAACACCCCAGATATAAGAAGAATAAATAAAATTAATAATAAGAGAAATACCAAGCACACCACGCTTATGATGTCGGCTCGCTCACCTTATCACGGGAACGCTGAAAAACTTCTAATATAAACACTAACACCCCAGATATAAGCAGAACAAATATAAGTAATAATAAGAGAAATACCAAGCACACCACATTTTCACGGAGGTGAAAATGATAAATAGCTTATATAAAGCACACCACTCTTATGATGTCGGTTAGCGCACCTTATCACGGGAACGGTCGTGGTCAGAGTCAGAGTCGGAGGTGGTGAGTCTGTTGCGGTACCGCGCGTGGGAGGATGAGTCACGGGGAGCTTCACCCCGACTCCCCCTGCTGCTTTGCTCCCCCTGGGGGGAAACATCACCACCACAACGTTTTTATTATTAGCTGTGCTGCCTACATTAATGTTCACATATAAACCTACAGTTGTTGTCATGCATGTCGAGGGAAACAAGTTATATACCAAGTTATAGTTATTATAGTTATATAAAATCGATTACAGTTTTTTAAAAGAAATCTACGCGGCCGTTTGTGAAAAACGCAAGTTTGAAAATTAACACAAAAAGTTGTAAAAAATGCGCAAACTTTTCGTTATAACTTTTTCAATTTTGAACTTTGTACCAAGTTATAGTTCTTATAGTTTTATACCAAGTTATAGTTATCATAGCTATGTACCAAGTTATAGTTATTGGTACGTTTAATACTAACAGCAAATAAAACTGTCGCCAATTGCCCCTCCATGGACATAAGGCGGAGTCTCACCTCATGTTTCTTGTGCTTCGTGCGTCGCTTCGCGGTTCCCGTGGAGGCAAAACAGATCATTTCGTACGCAGGGTTGCTCACTACTCCCCCGCCAGATATAGGGGCTGAGATAGCCCCAATAGTGTTCGGAACTACCCCAGACCTCTGATCAGTTACAACACCCGTGCTGGGGTCAGTACAGACACTAGGTTGAAGTTCAGCAGTCCCCGCGTGTGGGGAATCTAGTAAGGAGTCGTGGGAAGAGCGCCCAGGGGAAGGCGTTATTTCAGACTCTAGTTCATCCCCAGTGGACGCCGGGGGGGATGGGGGGCACATGGAACGACGAGGGGGTTTAGGGGGAGCCTTCCCCTGGAAGTACCACAAGAAAGATACATGTCGTTAGCAATAAAATTATAAGTATATTAAATGAAGAGCGCGTGTGAAAAGCATAAACCGTCAAATTGATCATAACGTCGTAAATTTAAATCAATAATCAATTAAAAAATATTTTTTTAACAAATTTTTTGCGTATTGCTAAGAAATTAGTTATATTTTAAGCGGAGGAGATAGGTAACGCTGATGGTATGGAAGCTTAGTATTTATGAATGTCTTTCAGCATGGATTCCTTTTTGAATTCTAAAGGTTAACCGCAATAGCGTTATAACTTAATTCGCGGGATATCCGTTCCTCTAAGCTAAATTCACAATGAATAATCTTTTTTTATCGTGGAGTCTATAAGGAAAATAATGATGCGCAAGATACTGACCAGAGAGGCAGCTCCCGGAGAGAGCTTGTCCCGAGACGAGCTGGGGCACGAGTGCGGTGTGGTGCTCTCTAGTCTTGCTCGTCTGAAGGATCTATAGTGACGCGGGGCATATATAGTGACGCGGGGCATATAGTGACGCGGGGCATATAGTGACGCGGGGCATATAGTGAAAGATTAGTCGGACTATATGTCAGTCAGTTCATATGGAGAAGACTAGCACTATTAAAGATCAATTGTAAATGCAATACTGAAAGTAGCCTGCAAGGAAGATTATTACATGTATAATGGTCGTCGGTAGTGATGGAGAAAGAAATCTGCAGTGTAGAGAAATTACCTATGATTTTATACGACAAATGCTGTGACCTTCTTTACAAATCGAATACAATTTACCGAATGAATTATTGTACATAGATCCCATTCACAATGTTATGCAGAGAATATACGACTATTTAGAACTTACCAGTAGACGACGCAGATATTTTCCTTAGACCCCGCGAATCAATAATATATTCTACTTAACCCTCTACCGCCTGACAGCAATATTGTCACAAGCCTACTTCCCAAAAAAGATACGTTGCTAGTGAGCGCAAAATGACTGGCAATGATGGTTGCCGCCACGTACGACAACTTTAAAATGTTTTCTGTTGCGTACAAACGTCCTCAGGTTGCTACACTCAATAGTTTACGTATAATTTAAGTTGAAAGTTATGTTCCCCGGAGAGTGACATACGGCGGTAAAGGATTAAACACGACGCAATCCCTAACCAGAATGCATACCCTGCCTAAATAACTCTTACATTGCGAACAGGATGCAGATCTCACCTGGATACCGAGGATGCACCGCATATCAATACCAGGGTAACATACCCTGCCTGAATAACTGACATTGCGAGCAGGATGCAGATCTTACCTAGATGCGTCTCATATCTATACCAGGGTGCATACCCTACCTAAATAGTTCACATTGCGAGCAGGCTGCAGATCTCACCTGGATGCGCTGCATATCTATACCAGGGTACATACCCTAGCTAGATGCGTCGCATTTCTATACCAGGGTGCATACCCTAGCTAGATGCGTCGCATATCTATACCAGGGTGCATACCCTAGCTAGATACGTCGCATATCTATACCAGGGCACATACCCTAGCTAGATGCGTTGCATATCTATACCAGGGTGCACACCCTAGCTATATGCGTCGCATATCTATACCAGGGTCCAGATATAGGGGCTGAGATAGCCCCAATAGTGTTCGGAACTACCCCAGACCTCTGATCAGTTACAACACCCGTGCTGGGGTCAGTACAGACACTAGGTTGAAGTTCAGCAGTCCCCGCGTGTGGGGAATCTAGTAAGGAATCGTGGGAAGAGCGCCCAGGGGAAGGCGTTATTTCAGACTCTAGTTCATCCCCAGTGGACGCCGGGGGGGATGGGGGGCACATGGAACGACGAGGGGGTTTAGGGGGAGCCTTCCCCTGGAAGTACCACAAGAAAGATACATGTCGTTAGCAATAAAATTATAAGTATATTAAATGAAGAGCGCGTGTGAAAAGCATAAACCGTCAAATTGATCATAACGTCGTAAATTTAAATCAATAATCAATTAAAAAATATTTTTTTAACAAATTTTTTGCGTATTGCTAAGAAATTAGTTATATTTTAAGCGGAGGAGATAGGTAACGCTGATGGTATGGAAGCTTAGTATTTATGAATGTCTTTCGGCATGGATTCCTTTTTGAATTCTAAAGGTTAACCGCAATAGCGTTATAACTTAATTCGCGGGATATCCGTTCCTCTAAGCTAAATTCACAATGAATAATCTTTTTTTATCGTGGAGTCTATAAGGAAAATAATGATACGCAAGATACTGACCAGGGAGGCAGCTCCCGGAGAGAGCTTGTCCCGAGACGAGCTGGGGCACGAGTGCGGTGTGGTGCTCTCTAGTCTTGCTCGTCTGAAGGATCGTGTGATACAACATTTATTTATCATGAGGTCGTACCGGGAAATAAGATCTTTGATACAACATTTATTTCTGATAAGGTACGGTTAGTATCGGGAAATATGATCATTTGAAACAACATTTATTTCTGATGAGGTCGTACCGTGAAGTAGGATCATTTGATACAATATTTATTTCTAATAAGGTAGCATCGGGAAGGAAGTTTATAGAATTATGATTCCTAACACAATGATACACAAAATTCATAATGAATCATAAATCTTTCCGGTTACGAAATGTTAAACTCGGGCATAACCAAGAACTCTCACCATCAAAATATGAATTTGATGACATTGATGAACTTGGCTTTAATTTTGAAAATGAACGTTTTTTCGCTGATATTAAAATTAAAATTGCAATCATTTGATATTACCAATAGAACTCACGTTTGCTTTGAGCCTCCAGACCGGCCAGTGAAAGCTTTGGGTGGTGGCGGTACATCGTAAACAGACCACTCCGAGCCCGCTTCTGAAACTCTGCCGTCACAGTCCGACAACTGGCTTTCCCTGTCACTACAAGCGCAGTTCTCTCTGTCCGACAAAAGACTACCACGACTATCACGATCCGATAGCCTGCTTTCTCGATCAGAATATCGACCTTCTCGGTCGGACAGACGGCCTTCTCTGTCGGACAACCAGCTTTCGTTGCGGTCTGACAACCAGTTGTCAACGCTGCTTCGGTCGCTGAGTCGGTCTCTGTACTTCTCGCGCCGGGTGCGGTCGCTCTCTGATTGATTGCGCTTCTTCGCGGTAGAAATTTTTGCCTGGTGCGTGAAGGTGCTGAGACCGTCCTGGTTGTTGAAGCGGATGTCAGTGTTCTCAGCCACGTCTGGGGTGGATTTCGTATAGAATTGCTCCGCGGCCGTCGAGGAGCGTGAAGCGGAACGGTCGTGACGAGGCCGTTGAAGGGTTTTCGCCGAGCACGAGCTGCGACGGTCCGAAGGCATACGGCCACCGTATTTTTCACCGTCTATACATAAATAAAGCAACAAAATACATTAATACATTGGAAAAAGTTGTTTCTTGATGATATCTTTGTTTGCATTATACTTGCAGATTGGAAAATAAATCGTGTAAATAAAAGTTTGAAACAATATATTCCTCAAAAACATGCAATTTGATCAAATTGGAAATAAATCAAAACAAGGTTTGGTAGATAGACGAAATGAAAAGACGAAGATAGAACGGAATGTGACATCATGCTTGGTAACAATCCCATATAATTAGTGTATGGTAATTAATGAAAAAAAACTGTACACTTACACGCATTGCGAGTAAGTAATGTATTACTTTTTTTTTGCTTAAACGCGTTGCGTGCAAGTAATGTATTACTATATATTACTTAAACGCGTTGCATGCAAGTAACATTTAGTAATATCATTCAATATTTGCGACATTTGTCTCGTTTTTCTAGACGCGTGCTCACAGTTCAGAGTTTATTTAACTCTTGATATTATATTACCCTTGATTACCTATACATTTATTTACATAAATGGCGAGAAACATTGTCAAGAGGTGGAGCACAAAAAATGGTCATGCTTTGTAAATAAAAATGATGATTTATTCATAGTTGAGATGCAACTTAAATGAGCAAATGAAACGGAAAACTTACCAGAGCATGAGGAGCTACGCTCCAGTTTGTTAGGGAGTTCGACTACAGAAGGGATGAGGACATTTTCATAAGGGGATCCGAATGCACTAGCTTCAGGGAAAAGGGGAGGACCAAGTTGTTGCCCAGGGGTTGAGGGAGAAGGATCCCCACCTTCAGGAGAAGCGGGTTCATCGTCGACGTAAAGATCGATGAGCTTCTCTATGACAGCAGCGGGGGCGTTAGCACCGGAATCGGTGGTGGTGATCGTGAGGAACGAGTGTCGTATGGTTGGAGAAGAGGACGACGAGCTCGGAGCGGAGAAGCTGAATAACGGGGTTGGTAAAGGTCGGCTAGGAACTGAGTAGATGTGATCCAGATTATCGTCCACTTCTTTGTTGCTTTCTTCGTCGATCACTTGTTCTCCAGCGCGGTCGGGTAATTCAGGAGATTCTATGCACGAAGTAATTTTGTTTGACATTTCGGTTTCATCCAGTGTACGCGTTCCTGTTTCAACAGGGCAAACAACTGGCGAGTCTTCGTAGAGATCGGAGTTTGCAGATTCTACAAAGGTCTTTGGTGAGTTTCGCGTTTTGATAGGCAATTTATCTTTGGCGGTGAGGCAAGGTGATGACCTGAACAGTACCATGGAGGTGATGTTCTCATCCCCATCACTTTCGTTGTTGTCCTCGTCGATATTCTCGAGGATCAGCGGAGTGGTGTTGGTTTCGCTCATCTCGCCCACAATGTTGGCATAATACGAAAGATCTGATACTTCGCTTAACCCACAGATGTCGCTTGATTTATCGTACTTCTTGGTATCTCCAGCATCCAAGTTGTTGCCAGACAAGTCTAAGTTGTTACTGAAGTTTTCGGGTTTCGAGTTGACTTCGGTTTTTGGCCAAATCACGAAAAAGTCTTCGACGGTCTTCGCTGCCTTGGATTCGGACAACCCGTCTTTGGCAGCGGAAGAGTCAAGTAGATTAGACTTACTCGTGTCTTCGGTACCAACTGGTTTCTCGAGACCCAGAGGCGAGAGCGACTCCTGGCAAGAAGGTTCACACCCATTACAAGACAAAGACGAGGCGTTGGAAGTCTTAGACTCCAAGGAATCAGTAGCGCCATGATGCACGACGGAGGTAACGAGAGGTGAGTTTTTGGACGAAAAAGAAGATTGAGCTGAGGAATACGAAGAAGAACCGCCGTGGAAAAAGCTAGGGGACAAAATAGTTGAAAAGTCGGCAATTAGGCTGCAAGCTGTCATTTCTTCGCTCGGGGAGTCCGTGTTCAGAATCTTACGGAGAGGCTCATCCGAGGGCAGGTCTTCCCCAAAGAGGTCCAGAAGAGGGGAGTCGTCAAGGTTACCCTCTGTGCGTTCCTTAAGTTTCACTGCTAGCCGACCAATATCATTGGGGGAGGGAGGGAAAGGGGAGTAAAATAAAATTCATGCATGGGGCAAATAAAATACGAACATGGAAAAATATTCCAAATAAGCTAAAATCAAGCAATAAGTTTTAACCAAAATTAAAAAAAACTAAAAAATTTACACAATTGAAAGGAAATAACATGTCACTAGCAAGCGCAAAAAAATACGGATATCTTTGCACTAAACGTAACGCCTCAAAAGAAAACCAACTGAACATCCACGTCAACAGCAAGCGCTTCGACGTGACTGCAGCGTTGTTTAGTGAGGACAAATTCCGCATAAAAGAATCGCTATATTGAATTGCCGTTATGATTTATGGTACTCTACCAGGTGACATGATGGCTGCATTGTCTTGGTAGGACATTGAAATGTTTTAGTGACGGTTGTGTTTGCATTGCGAAGTGACAGCATCACACACACACTTTGTTCTACTCATACCTAGAACTCAGCGACTTACCTACGATTCGACTTACATTCTTATTGATACGCCAGCTACTGAAGGCACAAGTACCACCCACTCAGTGCTATTCCTACGAAAGGCCCCCGTATCACCCACTTAGTGCTATTCCTACTAGAGGCCCCCGCGTAGTGCTAGTCCTACGAATGACCCCCGCATCACCCACTCAGTGCTATTCCTACGTAAGGCCCCCACTCAGTGCTATTCCTACGGAAGCCCCCCGTATCACCCACATTTGATGAGGCCGAGTATCTGTCGGGTGACGGGTGTGCTGATGGTGCCGATGGTGTCCAGGACGGTGAGCCCGAGGTCGTTGCGCACCTCAGCGTCTCCTCCAGCCTCCAGCAGCGCACGCACCACCTCCACCTATACGCACAACCAGCGCACCTTCAGCACAAGCGCACCACATGGCGCACCTTCAGCACAAGCGCACCACCTCCACCTATACGCACAACCAGCGCACATTCAGCACAAGCGCTCCACGTGGCGCACCTTCAGCACAAGCGCACCACCTGGCGCACCTTCAGCACAAGCGCACCACCTCCACCTATACGCAACCAGCGCACCTTCAGCACAAGCACACCACGTCTGTC